CAAACTCCCTCCCTTACCCTTCTCTCCCTTACCCCACCCCACACTCCATGGTTCTACATGTGCTGAAAAGAGAAGAGTAAGCTTAGAATAAATCTAATGAATCATAGGAATAAATGACAATGATAGTAAAGAGTAAAACCCAAACCCAAAAGATCACAACACTCCTGTGTTGTCATTGTCTGAGTGTCTGTCCCTATCTCTCTTGGAGGCTGCAGGCATCAATTTACATAGTATAACCAGTAAACAAGGTTGAAGAATCCAAAAGTGATTGGAAAAATGATTCGTGACCACTTGTCAATGGTGCTGACATCTGTCAGGTCTGGGATTTTGAGCTTCAGCTTTGATGACCGCCGGCGGAGGCGGCAGTTGGCACGGTTGCGGGCCGCGGCGTGGTGGGTCAGCGGGACGTGGCGGTCCAGGGTTGGGTGGTGCCCAAATCCATCCCGAGAGGCCAGCTGCTTCCGGAACTGGATTCCTGAGCCTTCAAAGGACATGACAGAGTTTCGAGAGTCGCCAACGCTGCTCATCATGTCTGTGGCCAGCAGCTCATTGTTCATCTCCAGAGTGCTGAGGAGGATGTTACCATAAGGGTCAACCTAGAATAGGGAATCATAGAATCATCATGGTTGGAAGACACCTCTAAGGATCATCAAGTCCAACCACTAACCTGTCACTCCACTGTAAACCCTAAACCATATGTTCCAGCATCAGATCCAGACGCCTCTTAAACACTTCCAGGGATGGCGACTCCACCACCCCTGTGAACTACCTATTCCAGTGCCTGACCACCCTAACAGTGAAAAAGGTTTTCCTAATATGTAATCTGAGCCTCCCCTGTCTCAGCTTATGACAGTTCCCTCTAGTTCTCTCACTGCAGCCACAGCAGAAAAGACCATCCCTCACCTCTCCACAACTACCTTAAAGGGGGTTGTAGTACTTTCAGGTAGTTGTGGAGAGGAATGAGTTCATCCCTGAGCTGCCTCTTCTCAAGACTAAACAAACTCAACTCCTCATACGACATGTTCTAGACCCTTTATGAGCCTTTTTGCTCTACACTGGACTCCTTCTCTCTGGCAAAATGGAGAGAAAGGTAGCAGGGATGTCCTGTGCAGAATGTACACACCATTAGAGGTGATTTTGGACTGTTTTCTCTGTAACAATACCACTGATAGGGTCATTTGTGAGCTCTGAACATGCTGCATTTGAAAGTGTTGCCCACTGCTGCTGGAGTTGAATGACCAGCCACATGTGGCTGCAGAAAACTTTTGAGTGGGGTCGTGTGATTCTGCCACCCCAGTAGGACCAAAAGCCACAGGGGTACTTTTGGGTACACCTGCTCCATGGTCCTGATGAGACTGGTTTGAGGATGATGACAAAAAGATCAAGAAGAAAAAATTCCCAGTAATCACCAGACAGGGGAATGGGACTTCATCTCTCATGATGAAGACAACAGCTGCTCCACAGCTCACCCAGGACTGAATGAACAGTGGAGAGCCTGAATTCTCCTGCCACAATGAAAGAAGAGGACAAACCTGCTCTCTCACCCTCTTCTCTTCATAGCGGTGGCGCTCGTTGTTGGCCTTGCTGATCCGCTCACTCTGCTTCTTTTGCTGCCGGGGCCCTCGCCCAAAGAATATATAGTTGACAAAAGCATATTCCAGGAGTGCCAGGAACACAAACACGAAGCAACCCATGAGATAAACATCAATAGCCTTGACGTAAGGGATCTTGGGGAGAGTCTCCCGCAGATGGGTGTTGATGGTAGTCATTGTAAGCACCGTGGTGACCCCTATAAGGAAAGGGTAGGTGCTCTGTTACCAAGGTGGGATGGTTTCCAGAAATGCCACTCTCAGCTTCCTCATCCCTCCTCCCAGCTGGACAGCCTCAGGAGGGATGGGAGTGGTGCAACTGGGAAGAAATTTATCATTATTCTCAGCCCAGATGCCCAGTACAAATCACTATAGAATGTGAATAGAGGGAGAAAATGTCAAAGTTGAGTATCATCAGGACAATGAGGATCAACAACCTCTGGACCTTGCTTCTTTAATTTCTCCCTGATCCTCCTTCTTTCCCTCAGTGTGATAGGAAACATTCAGTTTTGCTCTGTCTCTCAATCTCTTCTCTCTTTTTTTCTACTTCACGAATTCATCAAGTTTCACACTGTGCTACTGAATGCCTTAATATCCTTGACATAAATTTATAATTTGTTGTGTCTTTCCAATGCCTTGAATAGGAGAAAGAGTGAAGAGAGTCCCTCTCCATGGCACTCATTTTTCTGCCTTCCTCATAGGCTTCTCTCTACATTCTTTACCGCATCAATTCCCACATTCCTCTCACCAGCTCTACCACTCATTACTTCAATTATCACCTGTACACACTCCTTCCATGTTTCTCACACTCTAGTTTTCAGGTCTGCTCATATTTCTTCCATCTTAAATAAGCATTTCTTGAACGCTCTTGTCCGCATCTACTCAGTCTCCAAAAGCCTTGGGGCACCACGGTTACTCTCACATCTTCAGTCCTCTTCTTTGGTTTCTTCTCAGCCTCTTCTCTTCTCTGGCCTGTCAGAGTGACCTTAGATCTGTCTCCATGACAGTCTTCTGCTAGCTCCAAAAAGATAGCAATGAGCCTTCATACTTCTTTTGGGGGTGGTAACTTTTCCTCTTCGACCTAGTCATCTTCTCTCACTTCTCTAGCTCAGCTGTTCTTACCTTACTGATCTCCTTTTCTTCTAGTGTCCCTTCTCCTTAGCTGTTTGCATCTCTCTTAGTCTGTATGACCTTAATTTGCTTCTCTGGTTTCAGCTCTACCTCTACAATGATGGCTCTCAAAGCTCTCTGTGCATCCTCGACCTCTGTGTGTCCCACTTCCCCTTCACCCTCATTATGTCTCTAGTGTCACTCCTGATAAAAGACTTAAAGAACTATTAGTCTTCCGTTCACAGAACAGTAAACAGAAGGGAGACGTATTTATATACTTACATTATATTGTCTATATTTAGATAGTAGTGCAAATATCCAGAAATCTGAGGCAAAGAAAGGGGGAATAGAATGTTCTCTCTGTCTTCATTGAGAACTGAACCAATTGCAATAGAGACTTCTATTGCAGAGGCACAGAAGAACTATTTGACTGTATAAGCAGGTAAATCTGGAGATAAAGTGACCAGAGGAGGCTGTGGATTTTCCTTCTTTGGAGCTTTTAAAGGATAAGTTAGACAGAGAACTGTCAGGATAGTTTAGGGAGAGCTGTTCTAGTTCTGATCTACAATGTTTTTCTTCTGTCTTCTCCTTTGAATCCAGATGTCAGCAGAAATTCAACAGCTGTGCATCTCACATCCACCTTTCTGCTTGAGCTTTCACTGTGCCAGCAATGTCTGCCATGGTCTCTTTTTTTCCCCTCACTGATTATACTCTTGTCAATGCAACTTACCTTTATAATTTACCATGTTTTTCTTCTTCACTCCCTGTCTCTCTGCTCCAGCCTCTCCAAGCAAGCACAGCCAAATCATCTATTTTATATCTTTGCACAAATCATCCTTCCTCTGAGTCTTCTCAAACCCTAGTTTAAAACCTGATTTAAATTCTAATTTAAACCCCCTGCCTTTTCTGAAAGACCCAGCCTCTACCTGAGCTGCATCACCTTTCCAAGTGTTTTCACACTCACAGATGAAATCCTGCTCCCTCCTTGGCTCTCCTATAACCTCTGAACTTTATATCATGTTGCACAACCCCATTCTCCTATGCCAACCACTTTCTCCCATTCCTTCTTCAAAATCCTTATCTGCAATCCACCACCACTTTCCTTCTGTTGCTTAAAAGACCTCATTGTTTTTTCTCTTATAAGAAAACATTCCTACTTGGGGGAGCATGTGCTTAAGAACTTCTTGGACTTTAACTGCTGTCCCACATTTGCCTTGGCTAGGAAAGTCTTCAGCTACAAAAAGTGTCTGTATGGGCCCTAAACTATAACGAAAATGTGTAATGCCCCTTCCTTTATTTCTTTCATCTTTTAACCATTCCCATACTACTTTCTGGCCACCACCGTCAGCATTTATCATCCAGATAACTAGTCCTGGCACACCTGTTGACACCCAGATTTCTCTTCTTAAGGAAACAAGTACAAACCAGAGCAAAGGAACTGGCAGACTCACGGTGTATCAGAGAAGCAGTGACCATTTATGAGTTTTTTGACAGAGTTTACACTCACACGCAAAAATTATAAGGTAGAACTTCTACCGACTCAAAAAAACCAGACTCCAGGTTGGGAAGTACTAGTATTTCTAAACAAAGAAGAAGTAGCTCTCCTGACTGAAAATTTGAAGTTGTTCTCAGAAAAAAATGTCCATTGGGATGACACCTTTGACAGATCTATGTGACTTGCTTAGGTAAGCAAATACAATAAGGTATTTTCTTTTCTACAAGAAAGCAAATTCTTCAATGTTTAATGAAAAGGTACATACCCAGTGCCACTCGTGCAGCAGAAGCATCATAATTGATCCAGAAGGAGACCCAGGACAGGATGGTGATGAGAATAGATGGCATGTAAGTCTGCAGGATGAAGTAACCAATGTTCCTCTTAATCCGGAAACTCAAGGATAAGCGCAGATATGAACCTGCCAATGAGACATTAAAAGGAGATGTTGTTTGAGAGGAGGGCAAGGCTGTATTTATGGTAAGAGTTTTGGTTAGGTACGGAACTGAAATTTTATTTGGGAAATGTTCTCAAGAGGCAGGGATAATGAGAAATCTCTTTTTTTCTTAATTTGGCTTTGCAGACTCACCAGTTTTTGAAAGGGGTCTCTTCAGAATCAGTTGTCTCAGAATATTAAGAAGAAATGAAACTCTACATAAGGTACATTATTATATCAGACATCAGGGGAGAATGGCTGTTCAGTGATGAAATTGTTATTATGGTACAAGCCAATTTGATACAGGCTTACACAGGAGACTTTAACCCTATATCTGGGTGCTGTGAGATGATTTTCCAGTGTTTCCTGTGCTAACATTTCCTCCAAACGGCAATGAAGATCTGAATCATATTTTTCCCATGCTGTTCTAAAAATGGGTTATGGTCAGACTGGGCAAATTCATATGCAAATAGAGTACTGTTAGTTAATCTGTAGATCTCTTTTAAAAAAATTATTATTATTTTCAAGTTGCTGCAACTTCCTCCTAATCTTTTAGCAAACCTAGTGGGAATAGTGAGGACAATAAAGTATTTTTACAGTCCTTCCACTGGAGCAGGCTAATTTTGACAGGGCCTCTTTCATTGCTGTGAAAGTCATCGTTCCTTCCTACCTCACAACACAGCAGACTGAAACATGGGTGTAATCCTGATCTGGCAGGTAAAGTAAGAAGAGAACAACAGTTTTTAATGCTCAAGGAGGTAGACTGGGAAAAAGGAGGTATAGTTCTCTCACCACTATGCGCTACTTTTGTAGCTTGAACACAGTATTTCACCAGTCTTCTTTTGAAGGCCTTACCTATTTAGATCACAAACTTCTTTTGGAGTGATACTGCCTCTCGTTGTGGGTCTCTGGATTATCATTGCAACGGGACCCTGCTCTCAGCGTGCCCCTGGGGCACTGTTGTGACAACATCACCATCTGCCACCACTGCTGATAGACTCAAGCTGTGTTTTCATGGCTATTCAAAAATTGTCCTGTTTAACAGGTGTGTGGTATGCTGTTTTGGCAGTGAACTCTGTGTCAGATCAAAGTGAGGGCAACAACCGAAATTGAAACCCCTCCAACTTTCCAGCTGGCAGTATCCGAATTGTCCCAGGTATTGTCTCCAAATCTTTTTATTGCCATGTACAGATGGGTTTGCATCATTTCATAGACCACTTGCTTTTCAATAGATATATTCTTCTCCTCACTATTGCACCTATATTAACTTTGAGACCCAGATGAAAACCACATAAAAATAGGATAAAGACTGAGAACTTTCTAAAGAGGTTCTGTTTTGAGCTCAGTCACTGTTTAGACTAAGAAATTAAAACAATTGCACCAAAGAAAATGAACCTGTAAGCCTTTGAAGAGAGGCAACAAAATCCAGAAGCAAAGTTGATGGGCACAGAAAACGCCTCTTTTCCAAAGGAACAGTACCCTAGGTTGAAGCCTAGATCCCAGGTTACTGCCTCAGGACCTGAATGAGAGGAACAACCACATTGATGTTGATCAGCAGCAGGTTTGCACATGCCACTGCATCCCTTCATCAGAGACTCACCGGTGGTGAAGACCACTTCCCTGCTGACCAGCCTCTGCTCGATAATGGTGAACTGGGGCAGTTCTAGCACCTCCATTCCCGTGACAGCAGAATCATTTCCTTGCCAGAAGAAGACAATGTCATCAACTGTGTAACCATCTGCAGAGATGAAGAAGCACAGAGGGAGAACTAAGCTGACAAGCTGGACCAGATGACACCCCCATTTTCACTAAGGTGATCTGCAAAAGGATCCAAAAGCAAGCCCACACCATCAGATAGCAAGCCGAGCCCCTCCCTGCTGATGTACTTTTCTTCTTCAGCAGAGCCTGGCAGTACAGTCCCCAGCAGAAGAGGAAAAAATTGGTCAGAACTACCACTTCTGTGTAGAAATCAGGAGAAGAAGGTAAGACATGGCCCATCAAGCCTTGACTTGCACTACATAATCTCCATGACTGACATGACAGGATCCTGTGCACCAGAAGCCTCTCTCAAATGCACCAAACACAGCATTTTGCTTCGTCAAAACTGCCACCTTTTACCAGGAGGGGGAGACCATACAATACAGACTGGTGACTGGTGGGACTGGGTAAACAGTGCATCTCAGTATTAAAAATTCCCAGGGAGAAAAAGATCTACAAGAGCAGTTGAAAAGAAGCTGAAGATCAGAGCACCTCCCCCTTCTAAGTACTCTCAGTCACAATTTGGGTGCTAGAAGCGGACAGAGTCTCTGAGATTGAGGTCTGCTTTTATCAAGTGCTGGCTGAGAAGAGCATTAATAGGACAAGAGAGGAAGGGGAGTCAGGCTTCAAATATTCATTCCTTACATTTCAGGGTATTGAGTTTGTTAACTTAGCCAAGGGTACACCCTCTTACTTTAACCTCAAACTACATAGGCCAAACAGGCCTGCATGAGCTAGAAGTGTTGAGGAGTCCAAAGCCACAGTCTCAGGAGAAAGACCTCCCAGGTGCTCTGGACTCATGTGGAATGAGGACCAGGGGGCAAACCATGTATCTGCCCTTCCATCAGTGCCATGTTCACTGCCCTGCCTGTTACCCTCATGGGCAAGGATTCATCTCCACTTGAAAATTCACAGTGCTTGTGGCAAGCTGGGTTTTGATCTCCACTTGTCACAGTGCTTGTGGCAAGCTGGGTTTTGAAGCCCTGTGGCTGTTGCTGCACAAGGAGTGGCCTCTTACTCTAAGCAAAGTGCAGAGCTGCATGGGAGCATCTCTGTGTGCAATAAGCAGAACGATGTGTACAGGCTTTGGTACAGCATGGTGCAAGGCTTCCTTTAGAGTGTGAACCTCACCTATGCCCACAAACAGCTTTAACTCACTTGTGGCAAGCTGGGTTTTGAAGCCCTGTGGCTGTTGCTGCACAAGGAGTGGCCTCTTACTCTAAGCAAAGTGCAGAGCTGCATGGGAGCATCTCTGTGTGCAATAAGCAGAACGATGTGTACAGGCTTTGGTACAGCATGGTGCAAGGCTTCCTTTAGAGTGTGAACCTCACCTATGCCCACAAACAGCTTTAACTCACCATCTGCACTGCAGCACAGCAGCCTGCCTTATCCACACACCCTCGCAGCAGAGAGGCAG